TCTCGCCATATTTTGCTTTAATGATTAATACCGTCCGTTGGAATGAAGTGAGGGTGAGGTTCAGCTTTAAAGGTTTGTTATAACGAAATGCCTTTCAACCTTTGGTTTTCATTGTCTCTTAAGTCGACCGTTTCAGGGCTCATAATAGACCTTTTTTGCTATGAAAAATAGCCCGTACCGTGTTTCGTCCTGTAGGTGACCCATTACTCTGGTCGTTTCACACTTTCCGCAATGAGGACGGTTCTGAGGATAGTTTTGTGGAATGCTAAAAGTGACTTCGTTATCATTGTTGACTTCTAACAAACGCTAGATTTATCTCTGATTCATTGCACTGTGCATGTTTAAAACATCTTTCGCCGTAGGACAGCAATGTCGGCGATGCTCACAATCCTGAACCAGTTGTGTTAGAGAGGCATATAAGGTCAGCGGCAGCGCTGAGAATTTTTCAAACTAACTGAGACTAACTGTTCCACTGCAATTTCGACATATTCACTTCGCATCTTCCTCTTCATCTTCCATGGCCGCTTCTCCTTTCGGGTCGCGGAAGTAGATGTGCCAGAGTCTGAGCTTCGGCAGAAGATAAGTGGAACCGGGAACAGACTTCTTCCATATATTTGCACTAGGTTATCGAATCACTTTGCAAACACACTGAAATATCCTTGTCTCTGTCGAGAGGACCAAGCTGCTTCTCTCCTTAGTCAAAATCGGGACATGATCATACGAAGCAAATCACGATCCATGACACTTTATTGGCATAATTCAATACACAAATCAATAAACAGACTTTTGCAACAGTCTCCGCGAACCATATCTATGAACTCAGGAAACATATGGCAAGCAGACTTTGACTACAAATAGCGGTTACAAACAAAATCACATAAGCACACATATATTAACATCATTTACATATGCATTAATAACTTCGTCCATCCATAGATCTGCGCAGAACAGCACAGAAACCATTTCTCTTCTGCGATGAAAATACATTGAGTCACATTCGACGCCTTGACGTACACCAGTCAGAGCGATTGCGGTTTCGATCGCGGGTGTGCTTTTCAGCAGCATCATAATCCGCGTACGCCTTTCTTGTTTCGTACGTACCGTTAATGATAGACCATTCTAGCAGCTGCCGGCGCTTCAGAGGATCGTAGCCTTCAGGAGGAGGAACCAGAAGTTTGTTGATTCGTTTAACAGCACACTCCACCTTGGCACGTGCCAGATGCTCGAAATCTCTGCATCTGATGAGAACGGTCGGTCCTGCATTTTCGCACGCTATTATTCGGGGTGGAGGGCGTCGTGACTCTGGTCTATGTACTCCGGTTATGATTATTTTGCACCCTGTCGTGTGCTCTAAATGGGTGATGTACATACCACCAGGTCCTATTATTCGTCCGACGAAGTTGAAGCCAGGGTACTTCTCTACTGGTATGGCGACCTCTGCTGAGACGTTGACTCTTTTTCGCACGGTCTTTCCAAGTGGTGGCACCTCTCCGCGTTTAACCCCAAATCTGGCGATGTGCAACGCAACCATGTTGACCTGCTGGTCGAGAAGTTCCCAAACTTCGGCGTATTTTTTTGGTCCAGCCTTTACGATGCGTCGATCGTCCATTAATTCTTGAAGATATTTTACAGTATACTTCGATTCAGACTTTTCCGTCTCGTCGCGTTCCATTTTTGACTGACAGGACATCGATGCTTTACAGATGATCGCTAATTTCACAGTTCTGTGCTACACGGGTCAACTCCACCACCTCTTCGTTCTACTCTGACTTTGAAAGGAACACGCCTCGTACAATCTCCTCACAGCCCAGCTTCCAAGCGACCGTCTCCAACAGCATCCACGCAACAATAAAAACCGAATGTTCTTTCTTCTTGAGTAAGTTACGCGCTGTAATGTGGCTTTGTGTGTTGTAATGTTCCTTTACTGCGATACCGTCACGCGTCATTTTAAAATAGACGTGTGTGTGAACCGTCTTTACAACATTAATAAGTAAGGGTTAGTCGGTCGGTCAGTCAAATTTGCCTGAGCAAACCCTAAGCGTCGACAAAAAAATGAACAAATGCAAAACAACAAACAAAAAATGAAGCAAAATATGACCCTGATGTTTTGGGATAGCTTCAACGAATGCAAGTGCAAAAGTGTAATATTAAATGCATACCAGCTGCGGTATGAAACGAGGATAACTGTTAACATGAAACATAACTGACATGTGCAAAGATAATAAGTTCACGCTTCGTTGTACGTTACAGTGTCGAACACTTTCGCGCAAATCGACAAAAGTGATACCAAAAGGGAGCTGATTCTCACCTCGCACGCTAGAGGAGTTAACTTAAGGTAAATATACCATCTGTTTTGATGTAGTACTTTCAGAATCTTGCCTTTTATCTTGACTGTTGTTTGTCCAGACATGTTGACAGTCTGTTCGTGAAGATTTCAATGAACAACTTGCAGCTTGTGAGAACATACACATTCGGCGAGACCACTTCAGATCTTTCTTCTCGCCCTTTTTGAACAGCACGATAGTTTTTTGACTCCTTGAAGCTTGACGGTATTTTTTCGGTTTCCCGGTAGTAACGTCACCTCTTCACTAGATCCTTCCTCAACGTCTGAGAACTTGCCCTGATGACAGGGCAGATCTTCCATACGGCTCATCCGTCCTTCAATTGCTGTGCGGCATGCCGAATATCGTCTGCGAGAATCGGAAGTGTACTCTGGCTGATTGAGTGATGATTTGGAGGGGGGACATGTCTTTGTGTCAAAGAGTTAAAATTATTGCTGACCGACCGCATTTCAGGGCCATCAGATGTTCATTTTAATCTCAGTTCTTCAACACGGGGACAGTCGTCTGATTACTCTCTCCTGCATCGTCTTAAAACTTCTGCGGATTTTACGCGCATTCACTAATTTTCGCAATCCAAGGTCTCGAAATCATTCTTCAACTTTCATCTAATGAGCTTACAGGAAAGAAGATATTAAATCTTGTAGGTTCCATCTTTCTTCCTCCTCATCCGCTTCATTTCGTCCTCTCACCACGTCGGCTTACTTTGCGCAGCGTCATATATCTTCGGTGGTCGCCTACGATTTGTCTTCGACCGTGCCTTCCATTCAATCTTCTCTTCGGAGTTCATTCTGGCCCGCACCAGTCTCTTGTCACTGTCGATGCTAAATGATGACACTGCTGGTATGTCCCGGATAATGCGGTGTCTAATGGACACGAACGAAGTTGGTCTCGTTCTTCCTCCCAAAGTTGGATGCGATTCAAATCACCTTCTTGCTGGTCTTCCCCTTGAACCGGGTGTTTTATGTCTGTCATCGACTCCAACCAAGCTCCTCGCTCATTTCGTTGTTTCTGATACCGTACCTTCGGACAATTTTTCATTAGCCCTTCGTCGTTCGGCGAGGTTATGGTAAACTTTGTGACGAAGGCCTGTTCCGATCCTTGATAAAATTGTTCCCCTTCCTTTTCGTCAGCTGTAACTGTGGCAGCATAGACCTGAGCGATGTTCAAGCTCATCTTCTTGTTCAGCTGGAGACACAGCAACCAGCCTTTGTGAATTTATATGACGGAAAACGATTTTGGAGGACCAGCTTTCGCTGAATAGAAATCCGATTCTTTCTTTGTTCTTCGCGCTGTCTTCTTCTTTTAGCCAAATTGAGCTACCGTATATCCAGATTCCATTCATCGTCTTCCACCGTCGTGTCTCGTAGAGGTCAAGAAAATCGCAGGCCACCGTTGCTCTGTCGTCCAGAGGCTCTGGCTTAACGTTTCCTCGCCCGTCAGTTTTGTACAGTATTAGGTGCAAACGCTTGTTGGTACCTGAAACCTACGTATAGTTGCACAGGGGACAGCAGAAAATGAAATGACTTTTTATAAAAACATATATTTTTACAGTATGATGATCTATAAATCGGCTACTAACAATCTTCCATTCCTGCCTTTGAAACTCTCTGAAGGCCTTGGCTAGAAATTACGGAATCGACCGGCGATACAACTGCGTATATCATGTATAATTTCGATCAGATGCCGCGTTTCCGTATTTTTAGAAGCTGCTTCATGAAATTAATGTATAACTGATGTCGCTGCTTCCTCTCTCAATCATAGACTGGTTTGATGTCTGTGTTTACTATTCGATTAATCATTTTATCAGTGTTGATTCTATCAGCTGATTGCCGTCGCTCGTTATGATATTATATGGGCCACCTGACATCACTGTGGCTAGCGTAGTGACTGAAATGAATACACACTCTCGTACTTATCTTGAAATTGCCATCCCGTGATTAGATCACTTCTTTGTTTCTGAATATTGCGGACATTACATATGGCTAGCCTTCTAGTATAGTCATCACTGGAATCCGCATCAAGTACATGCCAGTTTCAGGGAAGCTACCACAATAAAGATAATGCTTTGTGGCT